TGCTCAAGTAGTGGCCACATCTTTCTGGTACCAACCTCTTGTGTCGTCGTCGTCAAGTCGTGCTCCGTTGGGTCTTCCTCTCTTGCCGGTTCCTTACGTTGTTTTGTCCATCCTAGTGCAAGTGTGTCTAATTTGTGTCAGCTTTCTTCTCATCACTGCCTGCATCATCAGGTTGTCTTCTTCTGCGTGCAGACTTTTTCTCACTTCTACGTTGTTCACTCTTTGGGTCCAGCAATACATTTCGAGTGCCAATATCTTGTCTCTATCAGTCTCTTTTTTATTGTATACCAAGTGAAAACTCCCATCGGGCACTATGGCATTTTCCACTTTGTATTTTCAAATCAAATGACAGTAATTTTATTTTTTAATTTCTCGAAAAACCTTCATTCGATTTTGGGTCACGGCTAACATCAGTGGCACGCGATACATCTGAACCAGTCCAACCTGCGTTCTCTGCACCCCCGTTGGCTGCTCCCCGACTAAGCCACCTCGAAGGGGGTAACTTTTACCTTTCTACCAAAACCGCGCGTCGCGTGCCGTGCAAACGAGCAGCGGCACGAGCATTTAGATTGCGCGTGTCACCCGTCATTGGCGTATACGGTATACGTGTAGTAGACACGTTTTGCATTTTTTTTTATTGGTACGAAACGTCTGCCTACGAATTTCGCCCGGACGCGATATGAATTGCGCAGCTGACGCGAGTCGACACCGTGTCCAGTTTGATTTGTAAACTCCGTGAAGAACGGGGGTGGCGTTGGGGGGGGGGGCAGAATTTTGGCCCGTGCGCAGCATTCTGTGGTACGCAGGAGCACGTGGGTTCGATCCAGACCCTGACGCCTGCTGTATATTTTGAGTCTGTGTGTCTCTCTTCCCGTGGCCGCGTGGATTTTCTCCGGTTTTTCCGTCCACATTTAGAATCAACGCGCGCTTGTAGAGTATTTGGCTGCTACACATGTCCACGTGATGATGAGCCGCTTCGTTGAGCTGTCATTTGTGATAGCCAGGTAGCTTCTGAAAAATAAGTTAATACCTCAAGTGGGCTTTTTCTGGTATGATGGGCGTGGTTTATGTTTATTTGTTTGTGTTTGGGTGAATTGTTTACCTTTCTTGTACTGTCGTGTTTTTGTGTTGTTTGTCGTTGCGACGTCCTTACCCGCCCCTACTGGACATCTGTGAAAACGAGCTTTATAGCTCATCGGATTCCTCCAGTATGAATACGTATTTCTGAGTCTGACTTCGGCACCGCCAGCGGCAGTCCTCCAACGCCGTGAGCATCTTAGCTGTGCTCAGCGGGCACGGGAGCGGGGTGAGATATTTTAGGCATGGGAACGGCGTTTGTCGTTTTAATGGTTTAATAATTACGATGTGTAATTAATGATAAACAACGATTTCAACTCGTAACGCACCACACAGCATTTGCTCGCTGTCGACGACGCAAGGAGGGACCAGGGGTGAGCGGGAAGGCATCAGCCTGGCGGTGAGCCACCGGCGCGACCAACAATTGCCCAAGCTCTGCTGTCCTCTATACACGAAGATGTTTTCAACCAATTAATGAGTGTTTACATGTCGGAGGAAACCAGAGCACCCGGAGAAATCCTGCGCATGCGAGGGGGAAACACGCTATCCCATGCAGACGGAACAGATGGGAGTCCACACTTGCTGTACCGCCTTCTGGGCGAGCCAGGGTACGGCGTCTTTTGAGGCCCACGGGAAGGTAGTTTCAACAACATTCGTGCAGTGATCCACCAACAACCCTCGGCAGTGCTGGACTACAGGCCACGTGCAGAGCCACCACTGCCCGGCAACATTTTATTGCGCTCAGCCACTTCAAGGGGTTTCTTTTCCGCATTGGCTGATAGGCACCTGATTTTAGTTGTATTTTCCATTCATTAATGCTGAGGCGTGTGTTGATGTGTGACCCACCAAAGGTATTTCCAAATCCGATTTAGCGATGAGTAAAGACAAATTTACCCCGAGGCTATTTAAACATTTAAGTACACGTTGCCCAATGAGCAGTCAAGTGTCACGCATCTATGAACTGTCACTTGAAAGCCGTTGCAGAAATGAATCATCTTCTCCAGGCTCAACCCGGGCATCAGCGTGCCTTACTTCTGAGCCAGGTGGTGGAAATTCCACATTCACGGGGCAGGAACCCAGTCTCTCCGCTGCCAATCAACCCGAAAGTGATGGAGGTTTTTTTTCTAATTAAGGTGGATGAAATTAAGATTCACTGAATGGGTCGTTTGGAATGATGTCAACCAAAGTTTTGAGGACAATTCACCCAGAAGTACTACTCATCTAGCCACAATTCGTCACTAAGTTAAATACACATTGTGTCTTCAGGCGGGGTGTGAATAACTAAAACGAAGTGGACGTGAGAAAGACTCTCGTCTCGAGCACAGTTCAGGAGTTTTTCGATTTCATTTATTCCCGATGCTTGCGCACGTCGACGATTCCGCGCCGCTTTGCGAACGTCGCACCTGGCCCTGCGATCACTTCCCCCGCCACCGCGCGATTATCTCGCGCGCCCCTCTCCCCCGACGCCCTGAGACGCACCGCAACGGGAGGCGAGCTTGAAAATCGCAGCCCGCGGCGATCACGGGCGACGAGCCGGAGTCTTCGAGCCAGGCGTCCCCGTGTGGCGTCGTGAAGTGGGCAGTGCCGGCGATGTGGTCTCTGGGCAAAGTCTCACGCGGTCCCTCGTATCGGCAGGTCACCTCGCCCCCGCCACGCTCCTCCTCACCTGGGCCTGCCGTCACCTGCACACCGCGTGCTTGGCCGCGCGTCGCTTTGAAGTCTCATCCACCGCGATAATTACGGCCTCTGAGCTCACGTTTTCACCAAGTCCCTAATGATTTTAATAGGCTTCTCTGTTCCTTTGCCTGCAGTGATTGAGGTCATGGAAAAGATGTTGAAGATATAATAATAATACATTTTTTATTTTCTTCAAATCTTCAAAAAAAAAATTACTTTTCTTGCAATTATATTCCAGTCGCGCTGTCGGGAGATGGAATTTCCAGACTCAGCTTGCACGGAACGGAATGTACCACTTTGTCTTGAATAATTACTTCGGAAAATATCATCGCACATCTGCTCATCTGATGAGAGTTGTCTACCAGTTACTCAGCTCTTCGAATACCTTGTATTGAGAGATCTATTAATTATTATAATTGCTACAGGCGTTTCAGTCGGCATCGTTATCCAGACCGCGACCAGATCGTGATTAAATAATGAATGCTAGCCTACAGCCCTTTGCGAATCTACTGCTGGATGAACCCCCCCCCCCCCCCCGTGGCTCGTGAGCGGGTTGTTTCGCCGAACCCTTTTCCATGCCGGTCGGAGCGGCTTTCGAGACGGGTAACCCATCGATACAGAAGGCCATTCGAACACCGATTTGTTCGAACACCGAATTAATGTTCCCTATAACAATGAATGTAAATGACATGAATTGGTTCCAGACACAAGAAATCTCTCATTATAAAGCATTTTTACGCGAAGTTTACAGTAATGACATGCATGAAATCATACAAAAAAACAAGAAACATAAAAAATATTGTGCATGGATAAACACCAAAAAACACTAAAATAAAGGAAATTAACGAAAAAGTTAAGGAACGATGTTTTGCGGATCTGCACTGGGTGAGAGCTACGTGTTAACTGAGCCTCTCACACCGCGGTAAAACCTTTGTCTGGGCAAGCGTCATGCATGCTGGCCATACGCGTCTCAGCCGTTACAGGTTCTTTCAAGTCGCGATTGCCCGTTCGACCTCCGAATTTCGTTCGGTTTCCGGGGCAAAAAATGTTCGGAAATATCGTTCGAACACCGATTTGTTCGAGTTCTGGTGCGTTCGATCTCCGAGGTTCGACTGTATATCACTCGCCGCTCACGTTAGCCACAGCCGGGAAATCAAACCCGGGCCGCCGAGTTTACAGTTACAGTCTGCTGACCACTTGCACAACCTCGTTCTGTCGCGTGGCGTACAAATACAAATAATTGGTGAAGTCTCTGAGCTGGATCAATCCAAATAGGTTCTGTGGTGTGATCATCTGGGGCCATTCTCTGGGATAAAATGATTCTGTCCCAGCCGATCTGAGCGACTCAAAACATACCTCCTGTCTATTGTTTAAGTTTCAAGGTTAAAAATAATACGTAGAAAAATTATCCGTAAACGTTCCAGACATTCTCACTCCACCAATGCATGACGGCCTCTGCACATGTCAGTCATGGGATTATTTCGTTGACCATACTTCACCACGCCGATCGGTGACGAGTGGGGGGGCGGCGCTCAGAACTGGTTCTCATATCGAGCGCCGCGGATATTAGCTATGGAATCGAACTCGGAACTCCGGGTTCATGCCGTCGCACGGCTAAGCACCGCGTGCATGCGACCACGTATCGATTAATTCTCTCAACTTCTTGGTTCTTTCGGTAAAGTCACGTAGGTATAAAATAAAATAAATCACGACGTTTTGGGCGCAACACAAGTGTCCATCATCAGGTGGGAAAGCATGGTCTGCTGCTGAGGCAGACTGTTTTAAAATGTTTGAAATGGGTGTGGCTCAAGGGTCATAAAGACCCTTTCCCATTTCGAGACAACTGCAAGTCGTAGGGTGCGGGTCCCGTTCACTGTTGAATCTCGGAACGCGCAAACAGTTCAGTGTTCATTTTATTTCGAGAAGCGTTAGCGCTGTTGTTTTTTAAGACATTGTACTCACCGCGGATAACTGTAGCGACACGACCGCACTCTAAGACAGCTGACGCCAAACCGTGCCACGCTCCCTCCCGCATGGCCTTGTGGGAGCCTCGGTACTCATGAAGTTATCTTACTTAAGTTTTCCTTGCGGTTCCATTCCGATGACGTACGCGTACCTCATCGGAATGGGAAAAGGTAAAAAAAAATGCTTGAACTCTCCGCGCTGTGCCAGCTATCTGTCTCTCTGTTTGTTCGAACGTCGTCGAGTTAATTTGTTGTCGCGCGTCTCTTGCCCCCTCCGTGCAGGCGAACACGCTCACGCAGGGCCTGGAGAAGATCCCCGACCAGCTGGGATACCTCGTCATGTCCGACGACGGGGTCCTTGCCGTGCGTATTTGCTCCGACGCCGCACCGCTGACACGCACACACACATACACACACAACAACCGCCATTCGCCACTAAGTGGCGGTGACGTCACCACGACGCTTGTGCCAGGCCAAGTGCACCTTGAGGTCACGTGAAGTGTCGAACGCCCGCTGGCAGGTCACGGGGCAGACCCAGGTGCCACGGGTCGACTGACCGAGATGACCGAGATGACTGGCTGATGCACCACCTGTGCCCCCTACTGTGCCAACTTGCTGTGCTTTAGCCACCCGGCGCTCCGCTCGTTGTTGTGAGCGTCGCTCCTCCGCCCTCCGTTGTTGTTGGAGGGCGACTACACACACATACACACACACGCTTCCGCAGGTGCCCTTGCCCCCTCGCTGTCGTTGTTGTCGGCCGGTAACTTCGCGCCGCTGGGCAAAAAACTCCTTCGCCACCCCCCCCCATTCTCCGCCAATCCTCCCTTTTCAGTTCCTGTCCAGTCGTGAGCTCCGAAATCTGTGATGTTGCCTCGCTGCTGCTGCTACTGCCACGTCTTCTCTTCCCTTCCCTCCCTCGGTCTGCACTCTGGCGTCGGCTTCATTGCTCGTCTCGCGTCAGCTGTTCCTGCAACAGTTCCGTTTTATTCTTTGTCGCTTTAACAACGGCAGCATCAACGGTGACCCCCTGTTCTTTCCTTAATTCCTAAACGGCCCTCCCCGAATTTCTCTTAACGTCGGTGGGTTTTTTTTTGTTTCTCTCTTTTTTATCTCAGTGCCGAGCTTACTTTGCCGAATCTTGATTTTAAAAAAAAACTTCACTCCCAGTCCAACTAACCGGGGTTGGTGGTCAAATTTGGGTTTGGTTCAAGCGAGACCACGAAGAACAGATGTGCAAATAGTTGGAAAGTTCCCGACTGCGGAGTACAAAGTGAGGCGTGTGTGGAGCTGCACTTGATTCATTCACCACGTTGTCGTTTCGTGGGAGCTCTCCGCTGTACAGGTTTTTAATGGAAAAAGAATAGATAATAGATGGTAACGTGATAATAAATGTAATGTTAATAGCTTCAAAAAGTCAATGAGCCTCCACTTCAATTTCGATTTTAAGCTTTCGTGACTGCAGGGATCCATATTCTTGGTTCTTTCGGTAAAGTCACGTAGAAGGGAAATAATAAAACAATAAAATTCTCACGACGTTTCGATTGCAACACAAGCAATCATCATCAGGTGTGAAAACCACAAATTTTCTTGCCGTGTTTTTCACACCTATGATGATTGCTTGTGTTGCAATCGAAACGTCGTGAGAATTTTATTGTTTTATTTTATTATCTCCCTTCTACGTGACTTTTACCGAAAGAACCAAGAATATGAGTCTCCACTTGTTCGCCATCATCGTCAACACGTGGCCTGGAATCTTCTCCAGTTGGTCTCCAGAGCCCGGAGGTACATCTCTTGTGGTGTCGTTGCAAATTCTCGGAAGTGTTCACATCTTTTTGAAGCGCCATGTATTCCGAGGGGTCGCCTGCAAATTCACGACGTGGTCAGTGCGCTAACTCGTGGTGTCACCCCTCATGGACCTCCGCCCGTACCACACCATACAGAATCCTTAGTAATGTTCTTTGTTTTAAAGCTTTCGTGACTGCAGGGATTCATATTCCTGGTTCTTTCAGTAAAGTCACGTAGAAGGGAAATAAAAAAAAATTAAATTACACCTTTAAATTACAATTTTTCCTTTAATTACTACTTATTTCTCAAATGTTTTCATGATATAGGTTCACAAATACTAATTACCACAATATTGCAGCTAACACACCAGAAAATTTGACAAAACCAGCGACGATAGAGACACCAGCAGCGACGAACACAACAGCGCGTGCTTGTGGCGCGTGCAGACAAACCCACGTCACTCGAAGCGTCACTGTAGTTGGGTAACAACGACGGCTCTGACCGGAGCGCATTGGAAGGTTCAAAAAGTAAATTCGCATCGAGTTTTAGCCCTGCAGGCGTATTGATACAGTACGTGTAAGCTGGGCTTACGAAAAAAAAATTGTTGTTATAACTAACTCCAGGGATATTTTATAAAAAAAAATAAGAATTAATTTCTGCTGAAACACTGCACAAAAATTGTTATAGACAGTCGTCTTGGTGTCACCCCCTCTGGTGATGTCACCCGGTGCTGTCCGCACGCTCCCCCCTAGCGACGCCACTGCCGTTGACTCAGAATCGAGACGAAAAACGCGTCACGGCGATTTGATGCTCAAACGAGCGTCATGTTTGCAGCCCTGAGCCAGTGGCGAAAATTCCACATTACCGAGACAGGAGGCCGCGTCGCTCTGTTGGACGACTGCCGTTGTTGCTTCGTCGCAAAGGGGTCGTCATTTTATCGACCCCGGAAGGGGTTATGGTTCGAGTCAACCCCCACTCCACAACCAGGGCATGAACTTGCAACCTTCCATTTGTGAGCTGCTCACTCTGCCAGTTGATGCCACGATGTATTTGTGACGCTGTCATTGGAGAGGCCCCTGAAAGCCACGTGTGCCATGCTACTGTGCACCGTAAAAGCTGGGTTGCAGTGGTAAAGCAATGTTGTCATCGCACAGTGCACACGAAGTATTACCTGGTCATTCTGATTATACACATTTGTGTGTTGAACTTTTTTCACACCGTACTTAGCCAACCCTGCCAATCGAAGCTGCGGGGGAAGGACAACAAACGAAATCACAACAAGCGGTCCTAAAGAAATGAGTTTTCAATCTAGATTTAAAAGTGCATAGCTCAAGTGGCATCCGAATATCGGAGTGAAGAGCGTTCCAGACGGCCGCAGAAGTGCATACGAAAGCGCGGCGCGATGCGGAAACCTCCGTCTTTGTTCGATGGCGGCGGTACATTTTAATATACACAGTGTGCTGCGCAGAACTCCACGCAGTATCAACCACATTGTCATGGGGGCTTGTTTGACCATATTTCACCTTGCTGGTCATGGTGGTTTGGTGAAGGGGGGGCGATGAGGGTGCCTCGGACCGGTTTTGATTCCACTCAGCAACGGATCAAACTCGTCTTCTTGGTTTTTTCGGTAAAGTCACGTAGAAGGGAAATAATAAAAATAAAACATAAAATAATTCTCACGACGTTTCGGCCACAACGTGACTTTACCGAAAGAACCAAGAAGATGAATCCCTGCAGTCACGAAAGCTTTAAATCGGGATCAAACTCGGTTCTCTGGTTCGCGTTCGTAAAGCAAATCATGAACGGACAAATTGGTAAATAATCCACGCCGGGTCGTGAACTAGACATGACCCCTGTGGGAAAAGAATCTCACCGGGGCCACGTTGATTTTATGAAATCATAATAACGTGAATTACCGACGAGGCCTTTTGTTGCATTGTCTGAGCGAGAATTTTCACGACCCGACACAAAAAGCCTCCCACAAAGGCCGCTGTCCGTAGTGCGCGTGGGGTGCAGGGGCAGCCCGAAGTGCGGGGAGCGGCAGCGCGGCGGTTAGCGCACCGCGCTTACGCACCCGGCGAAGACCCGAGTTCGATTCCTGCTCGCGGTCAGCACCAGTGACCAAGCAGTCCTGGGTTCTCGCCTCAAATGAGTACCTGGTGCGGTGCGTAAACATCACCACTGGGGAGGAGCGGGGGGGGGAGCGTGGTTAGAGCCCACACCATCCCCAATAGGTGCTCACTAACAGCACTTTCCCCCAGGAGTCTGTTAAGGATATACGGGGGATCTTTGTCTTTGTGTTGCGTGCGTCTCCAACGGCAATAAGTTATTCAAAAGCAGGAATGCGAGTGGTGGATTCTCGGTGGCGAGTTAATAGGATTACGGCGGCGACCGAAGGACGGACGTGGACGGATAATGGAACCGGCTCGGGAGTGTGCAGAGCGGAGAGACGCGGAGTGAAGGAGGAGGAGGAGGGAGGAGGAGGGAGGAGATGCGTGGGTTCTTAAGGAGATGGAGGATGAATGCGTTCTCTGGCCTTGATTCACGACGGGCAAGCGGCTAATTTTGAAAGAGAGAAAAAAAAGCACACAAATTCTTCTGCTTGGCCACCCAAAGGAACCATTCGTGGTGGAAATGTCACGGAAATGACCACTGCTGGGGTGCCCAGTTGCTTAATTGTGTTTTTAATTACCTTTCAGTTCCAGTTTCGAGTTTCCCTACGCGTACAGACAGACGCCTGAAATGTAATCTGGACTTTATCGTTTTTAACTTTGGCCGTGCCGGTAAGACTCGGGTAATGAGCAAATGAGCGTCGCTTCTTAAAAAAAAAATTCTACGGCCGTCGGAGTGTCGCTTCGTTTACGTCATGGAATCGGCCCTGGGGGACGACTCCACGGAGCTACTCCCGGAGTCTCTTCAACGGGTCCCACTCTCCCGCTGCTAGATGGCACCGCGATTATCTGCGTGTGCACGTTGAACGTCTTTCGTGCCCGTGCGTAAGCCGACCGCACTAATCGGAGGTGCGGGGGGGGGGGCAGGAAGAACAACAAAACCGAGCACAAAAAAACACTCCTAAAGAAATGAGTTTTCAGTCGAGATTATCTAAAAGCGTACAGCTCCAGTGGCTTCCTGTCATCTGAAAAGAAGAGCGTTCCAGACGTCCTGCAGAAGCGGTGCGGCGACCGTCGTTGCCCGGACGGCCCGCCAACTTTGGCGGCGACGATCACGCTGAAGGTGCGACGGCCCTTAGTGGGGCTCGTAGAAGGTGGAACACTTCCATGTGTAGCTACCGTTGAATGGAAGAAAACCGCGGTTCTTTGGGCTGCATCTGTTTAGGAGGGACGTGCGAGTTGGTCAAAAGGGCATTGCGTACACCAAGCTCGCTCGTGCGCCGTGCCGGCCTTCGTAGGCGCTCGCTCGCCTTGAAGCAGAGGTCGCAAACGGGTTTTGATTCCTTACCCGTACCCGGCCGCACCAGGGTCGCAAATGGGTACCTGTACCCGTACCCGGCCGGGTACGGGTAGCCGTTCCCTTCCCGTACCCTACCCGAAATGAGTGACAAACGGCTACTCACCAGTGACTCACGGCCTACCTGTACACGTACCCGGCCGCACCAGGGTCGCAAACGGCTACCCGTACCCGGCTGGGTAGCCGGGTATCGGGTAGGGTACGGGTATCGGGTACCCGGTTGCGACCTCTGCCTTGAAGCCCTTTCCTCCAACAGGCCACGTAGGCTGCCTGGGGGATCTTTTGCTTTGTGCTTTTTTGCGCGCGTGCGTTCGCAGTCGGGCGGCGAGCTGGAGAACGCGGAGCGCGCGGGGAAGGTGCTCGTGGCGATGCTCCGCTTGGCCGTGACGCTGACCATCGAGGACAAGGCGGAACCCTGCTTCAAGAGACTGTCTGGTGAGTGAGCTACTACTCCACCGCTGGTCGGTCGTAGGCGGTGGGGGCAGAGTGTGGGTGCCGCCAGCTCTCCCCAAAGACGTCTGGCCAGTTTTGGAAGAGTAGGCCAAAATACCCTCGCTCTCGAGGGGCTGTGGTTTGGGTGGATGCAGTTCATAAAATACGGCTATTATCCTGTTTGCTACTATATTTTTATGGAAGTACATAGACATTAAAAAAAATTTAATTGTATCAGTTTTACAAACGAGTTTGATAACGACGAATGACATTATAATTACAATTATTTATATTAAAAAAAGAACCGAACAATTTGCAACCCGTGAATGTTCAGCTTAATGCTCCGAACCCACACTCGATGAAAAATGAAGTGACATTGCAGGAAGTGACAATCGGGTTAGGTCACAACTGCTGTCAGCCAGTGCTTCTCCACTATCACCGACATGATTCAGGGCAGTGGTTCTTCACCTTTACTGCAGCCTTGCGCCCCTTTGGTTCTCAATCGTAAATTAAAAATGTTAAAGGTTAATAAACACATAGAGGTTTGATAACGCAAAGTAGTTGTTTGCTTACGTGCCCGTGATTAACTTATGCTTTCGATGATTTGACAAATCTGGCCACGTCTCGCACCCCCATGGGGTGCAGCATGCACCTCAGGTTAAGAAGAAGAACCACGGATTTAGGGCAACAATCGGAGTGAATTGTTTAATCAAACGGCACCGGCCGCCACGGAGCAGGTCCCAAAATGTCAGTATCTTTAAATAGTTCAATAATAATAAAAATATATTACCTCCGGTAAGTGTCATACTAAATAAGTTTTGCTGGCTGGCTGGCTGGCACGCGGGTGACGTCACCGAGCACATCCGCGCGGTGACGTTGAGCCGGGCTCGTGCATCGCGCTGACGTCACTCTCCGCCCCCCCCCCCGTCACCCACCCTCCAGCCCGAGCCGTGTATTCCACGCAAATGCGTGGCCATTGCTAGTCAGGGTGTCAACTGGCGTGGGGGGCATGGTGGGCATTGACACTCTCCCCCCCCCCCCGCCCTCCTCCCCCCCCACCTTGGATCTGCCACTGCAAAGGGCCCCCCCCCCACCCCGCCACTCTCTCCTCGCCGCGTTGTTGCGATTCCGCGAAAGTCTGTGAATCCTCGTCTGCGTCACGGGCCATCGGGTGAGCAACCAAAACGGCTCTTGAGATTTCGTGGTCGCAGAGACGTCCCTCACGCCGGCGACTCAGCTTTGGCGGGCGAGCTGTCTGCTCGGTTACGGACGCGCCCCGAGAATCGACGCCTGTGTGCGGGCTGGAATTTATACGGAACGAGAGAGGCGGCTCTTCGGCTGGAGCTCGAGTCTGGTTTTATTCGTCCTCGTTTTAAACTGCGCACGTCTGCATCGCGTTCTTACCGAGACGAAGACGTATCCGTTCGGATAACTTTCGCAGCTAGCGGCGTCGCCACCTTGTGTCAGGGAATGCCCCCCAAACAGATGACACGGCAGAACTTCCTTCTGAATTGCCAAACAATGGACCTCTTTTATTTCGCCCAAAGGGAGCGCCGTTCGCGTGTCCCCCGGCGCATCAATCGAACCGACGCCTCAGATGAACCTGCGCCTGGCTAGCCCTAGCAGAGGCTGCGATCGCCACGGGGGGGGGGGCCAGGTTTGCCCGCGGCCGACGATTCCTCCGCTCCGTCTCCCGTCGTTTTCGCCGGCTGACCGTCCTGTCGGCGGTCTCCTTACGAGACGTTTGCGGAGAAAGAAAGAAAAAAAAACCTCACTCTGGCTCCCCACTCATCGGCTTCCGGAAATCTTCTAAATTCTGGGAAAATGCGTAACACATGTACGCACGACACGGTTCATCGGATTATCGGAATAAATACGTTAGCGTCACGAGATGGGGACGGACGGACGGACGGACCGGATTGGGACTCGGGGACCCGGACTGCGCCAGCGTGGGCCCTGCGAGCCACAACCCCCCCCCACAACACCGGCAACACCTCCAGCCTCAAACCGGAGCGCCGTTCTTCATCGATATCAGCCTGACGATGCGTCAGTGGCGTAGCGTGATTTTCATGGGCCCTGGGGCGAGGAATGAAATGGGGTTCTCCTCCCCTTGCCCGCCTCCCCACCTCTTCGTGGCCCGACTCCCGGGCCCCTGCGGCATGCTGGGGCCCTGGGGCCCCTGCGGCATGCTGGGTAGGCAACGCCACTGCGATGGATTTACAAAAGGGCCGCACGAGGTTGCGATGTCTGAACGGCCGAAAATACTTGAACGGATGAACAGGCTTTTGGCTTTTGCCATTCTCCCAAACTGTTATATTGTTTTTCTCAGTTATAAACAGCACCTCCTGTACAGTCTATTTGTCAAATCCACTGCTGGATAACGACTGTGTTGATCCATGAGGGCATTTTGATCATACTGCACCATGCTGGCAGGACATGTTCAGTCTTCTTGTTTTGTACGGCTGCTGATGTAGATGCGGAGCTAAGGACTACAATTCACATTCAGGTGGTCAAGCCAGACAACTGTGCCAGAAGCAGCGGAGTAGCGTATCGCTGTGATGTCTCCTTCGCGTTTGTGAATCCGGGCATTGCGTCGTCATACGCTGCGCGGTCTGTTCTGGATGACCACAGTCGCACACTGGAGCGTTTTTAATTTTCCATGTGTGCAGTAGGGTAACCGCATGGTTTGTGCAGTATATGCGATTTAGGGTGGACCATGAGCAGCTCCGTGGAAGATCACACCCGGATCAAATCTTCTGCATTGTTCAGCCATCACTCGCCGGCGATGTTCCCTTCCACGTGACCGGGAATCGATCTCGTCACGCAGTTCGCGAACCACTGCACCACCGCTCACACCCCAAACAGCACGAATTCTTGAAAAGCTAAACTGATAAACTGGAAACGCCCCGTATGTAGTTCTGTTTTTCTCAAAGCCCTTGCGTAGTTATACAGGTTTTTTTTTTTATCTGTGCTATGGAGAGACTTGCCCCTGCCATGGGAATGTGGAATTGCCACTGCTGGATCAGAGCCACGGTTGGAGATGAGAGGGGGCGTCCCGCTGTTTGAGCAGTGAGAGACTCGTTTGGACTTCAAATGTTTTGTTAATGGCAACAGCGTTCGCATTTTAGACCTCGCTTTGATGTGACCACCAGTGCGGGCTCTTGAAATTCTATTTGAAGTCATTCCATAATTATATAACTGTATATATATTTACCAATGAGGTTGAGTATCTCTTTTGTGATGTCTGGGGACTAAACATAATGCAGGCCGGTAATGATCCCGTATAATTATAATGAATCACGTAACAGCCCTTTGTCAATCGAGATTAGAGACCTGGACACCGCTGGCATCCAACATCAGGCTCTCCATATGCGCTGCCAACAGCGCTACCTTGGGATCAGGTGGTTCCGCCTTTGTCACAAGACTTCACCGTGATGGCATCCCGCACTGGTGTCTTTGAAGCCATCCTTAAAAGTAAACGTCTTCACCGATTACTTTGCTATCGCGGGTAAAGCGACGTCAAGGGCGCTTCATCAAAAGCATTGTTTTTTTTACATTATGCAATTTTTGTGAATAAAAATTGCCGAGCACAAGCCCATAAAAATTTCCAAAACTCCAAGCGGTCAGCAAGCAAACAACTCAAGGTGTAAATCGACGTGAACTTGTACGTTTCTCGATTTGAGCAAAGTTATTATCATTATTATTATAACAGCTTGGGGGGGGGGAGAGGTGGGGGGGATTCAAAAGCAGAGCCGTGCGAGGGAAGAAGCAGGATTAGCAGTGTAGAGAGAGGGAAGAGAGAGGGAAGAGAGAGCGAAAGCGAGAGAGAGAGAGAGAGGCGTAATCATCCAAAGTGGGAGCGACGGAGGGACGTGGGTGCAGCTGCTTCAGATTTGTGGCGTTGTTTAAACCTCCCCCGGTCGAGCTCGGGCCGGCCGCTAATCCTCCCAGAATTCCTGGGGCACCCTCTGCTGATGGTTTGCAGAAGTGGCAGGGGCTGTCCCACGGCTCGTGCGTAAGTCGGGCGGCGCGGAGTTGGTTTTTTTGCACTCGGACCCCCAATCGTTCGATCGCCCTGGTTCATCGACGGTTCAACTCTCCAGGTAGCAGCGGTGCGACTGTGGTCATCGAGAGCAGACCGTTCAACGTGTAAACGACGCAATGCCCCGATCCACAAATACGAAGGAGACATCGCGGCGATAGACTCCGAGCGCGGCTATCTGGGTTTGACCAGCTGAATGTGAAATTGCAGTTGTTGTTCTGCGTCTACATCAGCGGCTGTACGACAAGACAAATAACGGACAACGAAGCTCTGCGACGGGATTTCGGGTCGTGCCGCTCGTCGTTGATCGGCGTGACGTCCGATGTTTCGCTCCGCGTCCCGGGAGCTTCTTCGGGAACCGAAGTAAGCGGCCGGCGTTCCTAGCCGCTCGGTTAGTGCGCGGCCTTCGTCGCTGGCTGCTGCTGAGCTGAGTTCTTCCCAAAGAAGCGGCTCCCGGCACGTGGAGCGAAACGTCGGACACCGTGCCCAGCAGCAGCGTCGACGACGAGTGGCACGACCGGGAGAACGCAGAGGGGAGCAACGCGAATGAACAACCGTGTAAAATTCAAAGTTCAAAGTTCATTTATTAGGTATAGCCCTGTGAGCCATTCGGCTCTTGAATCGGGTGCAACCGCAACAAACAAAAAACTAAAACATGAACAAGAAAACATCTTAAAGTGACTGAGTGCAAACAGAACATCCAAGAAAAGACAGCAAAATATTGCAGAAAAAATCACCGTACACCAACATTGTGTGCAAAAATCCCAGTGGGATGCAAGTCAAACAACAACAACCACTAGACAACTTAGATTAAGGCCATCAGTCTACCTCTGTACTACAACAAACAAACATGGCCAAACCAAAAAACTTTTCGAAAATCACCAAAATAAAGCCATAAAAGCAGGGTAAACGAGATGACAGGGCAGCAAGTAGATTACGGACCCCCCTTTGGTGCAGACCG